CGCACGGGACGCGCAGGTGTAACGCGCTGCTGTATCCCTTCCATTGGCTTATTAACTGAATATTTGGACCCGAGTCTTTGTTTTCACAAATTTCACGGCGCTTCGCAAAATTGAAGACAATAATAGAGATGTTTGTGTGTCCATAATGTCCAGTTTTTTTGGGGGGGCAGGAATAACAAGCAGGGGGGCGTTGCAGTCATAGGTAAAGATTTTGTAGACTGGATATCGGTTTATCTTATACAGTGTTGCCAACTAATTTTCAGGGGAAGTTGCTAAAGGAAGGGCAATTTGTTGCTAAATGACGTTGTGATGTCATTGCTTGTTGACATAATTATGTAATTATGACAAAATTGTCACTACTTCAAAATTAAAAAAAATAATAATCGGTATATGTTCAGTTAGATTTGTTCGTAAAATAATATAACGTAATATAATATTAAAATATAAATAACTGTATTTTTTAAATACGACATTGAATTATTGAACACTTACACATTTTTGAACTTATTAGGGCCTACAATTTAAGTTTTTTTTATTAGCTAGTAAACTAGTAAGGCTACACATTCTGAGCAATTATAGTTTTAAGCAGTGTATTAGCAGTTAGTTAGTATGCTACACTCTAAGAAAATATCTGTAAAAATAAGGCACAATCTACTATGCTAATATGAAGGAATTATGTTTTTCTTAGTGTACTAACTGATCAACAGTCGCTGGTACGAGCTACTCACAAGGTGTATCATAAATTAACAATTATTCAATTATTATTATTAAATTGAGCAATTACTAATAGCAGCTAACTTAATTAATGTGACGTGTGTACTGCTAGGCGTCTTTGGTTTCCTCATTTTGTGTCATTTGGATGGAAAATGTGTGCCTTTTTATCATTTGAGTCACTTATCAAAAGTTGCTAAAAGCTGCCAAATAAATTGTAAAAATAGCTAAATTTGTTGCTAGGTGCTTCTGGAAGACAAAGTTGCTAGGGTAGCGTGAAAAGTTGCTAAATTTAGCTACAAAATTGCTAAGTTGGCAACACTGATCTTATAGGCTACTTAAAGTAGCTAACAGTTGAATATTAAAAAATAGCTATATCTTAATTATTGTTTTTTTTTTAGACTAAAATTTATTTTTGAATGAATACTATTTAAATCATTTTTAATAGTTTCAATTTGAAATAAATGCAAATATTGTTTTGAAAAGTACTAATATGTCTTTGATTGGTAAAATGCTTTATTTTGGCCTATTCTCTGGCGCCGCCGTTCTATAGAATAAGTGAACTGTGCTTTAGGCAAGTGAATTTCCGAACGCACATGTTGATCAGAGGCTAATTATCTCATATACTCGCACTGGTAGCACTAGAGGAAGCCATTAAGGGCTGTGTTTCAAACAGAGAAGGGATTGTTTGAAATAAAGGTGCTGCTTTTATTGAAACAAATGCATTCATAAACAAATTCTGCTCTCCTCTGGTTGTGTGCTTCAATTAGCATCTTATTAGAGACCTCAGGCAGGTGTTGGTTTTGACACATAGGCTCCCATTTGAAAGAGGAAGCACTAATGAAGAGTTTTACTGCGATGGGAGAGCGTTATCACCATACATCCGTCCAATGATGTTTTCTTGGTCTCTCATTTAAGGAATATTTGCATATGTTTGCTAATCCAGCATTTAAAATCAATTTCCTTTCTTTTTTGGGGGGATGAACAGCATCCAAGCAGCCATTCACTGATTTTTTTATTTTTTTTTTGTAGAAAATGTCAACCAGAATTGATCAACAGCTCTGTCTACGTCTCCTTTAGTCTCAGGGTTTCAGATCTGAATATCTCTAGTAATCTCTGCTCTACTTTATGCTGTAAGCAGCTGTTGTTTTATATTCTTTTTGATCGCAAGATTAAAGTATTCCCAAAACTCAGATAGTTAATTACGATTGCATGTAAAAAAATAAAAAATAAATAAAAAGCACTGTTTACACTCACAGTCAATTCAGTCAAGAAAACCATGGCATTTGAAAAGCATTTTAGAGCATTCATTGGCAAATTTCTGATGCATATTATAATTTGTGCAATTAAACTTCGGAAAACCTTCCAAATGTGACAAAAGCAATGCTTTTATTTTTGCTTGAAGTGATTTTATACACTTATTAGTGCTTCACCATTTTTTAATTTCTAAAAATGGCTTCTGGGAGATTTTGGAGCTGACACAACTTCTGTTATAATTGATTTTTTTGTTTTGTTGCAGGAACATTGTTCCGAACAACTTTTCGAAGTTTTGTGAGCAACTTCAGATCAGATATTCAATCTCCCATCCTTCGGCCTGAGCTCCTCGTTTTCTCAGGCAGACAGCATATGTTTGTTTTAAATTAGAGATGCACATGGGGAGCGAGGGGTGCGCGGTCGCTTTCCTCTTTGTCTCGGCCTCTAAATCCACGAGCAGCTGCCGGCTGCTGGGTCTGCTGGGAGTTTCGGAGAGAGCTGTGCGCTTTCTCCCATCGGCCTGTGCCAAGGTGGCATTACGCAAGCGGCGATGGTGACCGCGACCCAGACTTAAGAACACGGTTGCCATGACTAGCTTGTTGGGATGCTGAACTTTGCCTCAGTGGTGGATCGGAACTTGTAGCACTGGCAAATTGTGCACCACCGGACGGGACTGTGTGCTCTCGCTCGCTCGCTCACTCTCTCTCTCTTGTTCTGCCACCAGCCCCCCCTCTCTCTCTCTTTCCCCTCCCTTTCAGCTCTTCAAGCTAACGTATTGGCTGAGCTACAGGCATCTTGTTGCCAAATAGGTGGGCCCTACTCGTGTTGGCAAAGACTCAGGCAATGGTTATGGAAATAACGCGGAGAGGACGAGAGAGAGCGAGCGAGCGATCGAGAGAGAGAGAGTTAGAGAGAAAAGGAGTAAAAAAAGCAGCAGCACTTGGGTTTGCCAGCGGTCCTGCAAGCTCGTCCAACATTGATTCGGTTCTCTTTTTTTCCCTGCCTGTATTCTGTGCTTTGCATTAGCCAGCTCCCCCCACCCGCCCCCCTTCGTCGCAGGAGTGTGCATGCATGTGCGCGCGTGTGCCTGCGAATATGTGTGTGCTGAGTTTTTTGCCGGATCCAAAGATCTAAGAAAACACTCATTGCGCTTTGCCAAGGATTTTTTTTTGTCTGCATCGTTTAGATTTTTTTAAATTATTTGGAAAGCAAAAGCATTTATTTTGAGTGCTGCTGCTTTTCTGTTTTTTTTTTTTTCTTCTTCTTTTTTTCTTGCACATACACACCTTTATTTCATTCTTTTTTTGGAGCAATTTCTTTTTTTAAATAACCAATTTTACCTGGAAACGCAAAAGAAAATTCCTGATCTTGAAATTTCTTGAAAACTTCTTTCTGCCGGCAATTGGAGCGTCTCCAGTCTTCTTTCCTTTTTACCCAAGTTTTTTTTCGGTCGCCAATTCTTCATCTTTGCCAAGCCAGCAGTTGTTTCGGCGTGAGTGGCAAAGAACTGGTGTGGGTGTTTTTGGAGCAATTTCTTTTTTTAAATAACCAATTTTACCTGGAAACGCAAAAGAAAATTCCTGATCTTGAAATTAACTTCTTTCCGCCGGCAATTGGAGCGTCTCCAGTCTTCTTTCCTTTTTACCCAAGTTTTTTTTTTCGGTCGCCAATTCTTCATCTTTGCCAAGCCAGCAGTTGTTGTTTCGGCGTGAGTGGCAAAGAACTGGTGCGGGTGGATTTTTTTTCCCCGTCCTGAACGGCGTGCCAAATTTATGATGAGAGTGCAAAATGGTAACTACCAGCCTTTCTCTCTCTTTCTGCTCCTGTTTGCAGTGTGTGCTTTTCACGGTGCTGTCTGCCTTCTCGATTGTCGAAATGTGAACATGCCTGGATTTCTGCACAACAGCAGCCCGCAGAGAGGATTTGATGGCAGGTCTTGAAGGGACGCAGTTTAACCGCGGTCTTGTTGTGGCGAGAGTTGGCGGAGAGGGTCTGGGGCACGGCGGCCCTGGCACTGGGGCACCGTGGCGCGGTTTAGGCTTTGTCACTGAGCGTTGTGTGGTGAAGGTATTATTGGAGAGCTGAATGAGTCTTCCGTTGCCGTGGGAATCGCCAAGCTTTTCTTGGCCTGACTTGAGCTAAAGAAGCTGCTTTCTGTGAATTGCAGAATCCCGGAATTCCTGCACAACCATTGAGATGTTGAAAAACTGTCTGAAAGAGAGCCTCATTTAGCTTTCCATTTGCACTTACTTTAATTTACAAAGTCTTTGTATTTCTGTAGAATAATTGTGTCTGAACTTAAGGGGATTTTGCTTTATGCATGCTACTATTGTGACGAATATTTCAATTGAAAATAATGATTGATCACATTCTTATATTTGCTTTCAGTTTACATTCTATTCAGTCTTAATGTATGTGTTTTATTGATTTATTTTTATGTTTGCTCAGCATTGAGATAAATGTCAAAATTTGATGTTAAAAGAATACAATTGGCATTAAAATTCATAACAATCAAATGGCTTTAATGGAATGTAATAACAGATTAAATAGAACGTAAGACTATAAAATGTAAGTCTATATTATTTTAATTGAAAATAATATTTTTTCCAAGTTCTACACTGCTAAAAATAATATCCTTAATCTGTATTTTTAGTTGTTTTCGAGTAAAAATATCCCTGAAACAAGATAAACGTACTTGAGGAACTGTAAGATGCTGTAAGACTTGTTTCCAGAGAAAATTCAATTTGCCTTGCGTTTATCTCATTGGCAAATATATTTATTCAATGAAACTCTCTAAAATTATTGAGATTTATTCTTAAAACCTAAAATGTATTCAAATGGACCTAATTTAGCATGCATTCTCTTTTATTTACACTATTTTAGACATTTATAATGCAAAATTGTTATTTGCAGATATGTAAATTCAAATGCATTCAATGCATTCTTTTCCAAAGCTCTCAAACATTTATCTTTAAGTTCCATGAAAGTTTCTGAAATTATCTCTGAAATTCCTTCTTTTTTTTTTAATCCAACAGGATGAATTTCATCCCTTCATCGAGGCTTTGCTGCCGCATGTCCGCGCGTTCTCCTACACCTGGTTCAACCTGCAGGCCCGCAAGCGCAAGTACTTCAAGAAGCATGAGAAGCGCATGACGAAGGACGAGGAGCGCGCCGTCAAAGACGAACTCCTGGGTGAGAAGCCCGAGATCAAGCAGAAGTGGGCGTCCCGTCTGCTCGCCAAGCTCCGCAAAGACATCCGGCCGGAGTTCCGCGAGGACTTCGTGCTCACCATCACGGGGAAGAAGCCGCCGTGCTGCGTGCTGTCCAACCCCGACCAGAAGGGCAAGATCCGCCGCATCGACTGCCTGCGGCAAGCGGACAAGGTCTGGCGCCTGGACCTGGTGATGGTTATCCTGTTCAAGGGAAGCCCGCTGGAGAGCACGGACGGAGAGAGGCTGCACAAGTCGCCGCAGTGTTCCAACCACGGCCTCTGTGTGCAGCCGCACCACATCGGAGTGTCCGTGAAAGAGCTGGACCTGTATCTGGCCTACTTTGTCCATACGCCAGGTGAGTCACACACACACACACACACACACACACACACACACACACAGAAATACGCCGCTGTGTAACCCGGTTCAGGAAGCACGGGCTGATTCAATTCCGGGCTGTATTCCAAACATGTACTTGAATGCAACTATATGCAAATACAGGCTTTGTTGTGTTTATTTCTTTGTTATTATTTGTATGGTTGTGCTTAAACTTGTAGGAATGTGTGTGAAATATGTGTGTGTGTGTGTGTGTGTGTGTGAACTGGTTTACAGGTTATGTATGCTGTAGTGTGTGTAGCATAATGCAATCATGCCTTTGATAGTTGTGCGTATGTGTGTGTGTGTGTGTGTGTGTGTGTATAAATGTGTGTTTGTATTGTGGCAGTGACAGCGGGCGCCCCTGGTGATGGTTATCCTGTTCAAGGGAAGCCCGCTGGAGAGCACGGACGGAGAGAGGCTGCACAAGTCGCCGCAGTGTTCCAACCACGGCCTCTGTGTGCAGCCGCACCACATCGGAGTGTCCGTGAAAGAGCTGGACCTGTATCTGGCCTACTTTGTCCATACGCCAGGTGAGTCACACACACACACACACACACACACACACACACACACACAGAAATACGCCGCTGTGTAACCCGGTTCAGGAAGCACGGGCTGATTCAATTCCGGGCTGTATTCCAAACATGTACTTGAATGCAACTATATGCAAATACAGGCTTTGTTGTGTTTATTTCTTTGTTATTATTTGTATGGTTGTGCTTAAACTTGTAGGAATGTGTGTGAAATATGTGTGTGTGTGTGTGTGTGTGTGTGAACTGGTTTACAGGTTATGTATGCTGTAGTGTGTGTAGCATAATGCAATCATGCCTTTGATAGTTGTGCGTATGTGTGTGTGTGTGTGTGTGTGTGTGTGTAAATGTCAGTTTGTGTATTGTGGCAGTGACAGCTGGCCTGCTCCCAGCTTGTGTGAAGGCCCCACACACGCACACGCACGCACACACACACACACACACACACACACACGCACACACACACACACTGGTTGGTTAGTTACACTACTGCCTATAACACACACCTATAATCACAACGATCACATTCTCATAGACGGAACATTTTTCTTTCGATTTACAGTCTTAATTTATGTATTTTATTTATTTAGTTTTAAGGTTTGCTCGGCATTGAAAGAAATGTCAAAATGAGATATTAAAATCAGAACATTCCCATTAAAATTCTTAACTTTCATGGAACTTTATGATAAATACAGACTATATAGAATGTAAGTCTATAAAATGTAAAAATATTTAGTTTTATACAGCATTAACAAAACTATAATAAATATATTTAATATAAAATATAAAGGTTTTTATTCCAGGTTTTCAGGAATAATATATGTATAATTATATATAAATGATTATTATTATTATTATTATTATTATAAATAAATGACAGATATTATTTCTAAACACTTAAAGTAACTCTTTCTTCAACTACTACAACAATATAAACAAAAAACTATTATAAATAATAGTTTGTTCATTTTAATATGTATTTTATTTAAAATATTTAATTAAGTATTTTTATTTGTTTGTTTGTTTGATGGTGATGCCAGGATCGGTGATTGTGGTTTTGTTGCAGTTGCAAGTATTTATTTGTCAGATGCACTATATGTTGATCACTATATTGGCGGCAGTTCTTGGCAAAACACAGAAAGAGACACTCACAAACAGCGCAATATTATATTTGCAGTTATTTACAGGCATCTCAGTTATTTAGCTATTATCTGTGCACTCAGAGTATGTGAACAGGCAACATTTGATGGTGGTTTTTCGCCTTTGTTGTGACACAGAGCCATAATTCTGTTTTTTGGCAGGGGCTTCGAAAGAGATTTTGTTGCCCATGCCGAGTTTCCCTTTCGCTCCGTGTAGAACTCAGCATCAGTTAGCCGGTTCACCATGCCGTTCTTTTCCTGTTTAACGGTATGCCAGGACTCAGATTATCTCCTGCTGACCCGGCCGAATCTCCTGTCTTAATCCGGACGCTATTAAAGCGGCCTGATGGCTCATTGTTCCGGCCACATCTGCTTTACCATATAGAGGGAATATTACTGCAACATTTGTTCATTTCCCTTAAACACTGATAGACCCTGTTTTACGCAGTCTGTATTTTGCAAAGATTATTCTCAGAGCAAACATTTGCATTTATTTTTCGACTGCAGTTTTAAGCGCCTGCCAAAAACGAGGCCTGGTTTAGATCACTTCTGCTTTTGCTGTCTCTGAAAATCAGCGTTTACATTTTGGCTCGGGCATTTGAACAACTACATGTACTGTGATATTTGCGCGCTGTAGATCAGGAGGCACGATTTGTGTGTAATTTACTCTCCAGGTCCTGTTTCACTGGTCAATTAGTGGTTTATTGACAAGATGCGTGTCGTATCGCCCCTGGGAGCGATTAATGGCATTAAACTCCGCCGGTAAAACACCCAGGAGCACGATGCCGTAATTACGCGCAGTCTTCTTGCCGTACGCCGGCTGTATTAATGATGATGATTAATGGGAGTTTTTGACCAGCACCTTGGATCAGCCGTCTCGCGCCGCTCCAGAAAAAAAGTTATTTTTCTTCTGTGTTTGTCAGAATGATGGATGCTTTCTCCCGGTTTAGTCATCTCTGAAGCTCGCCACGTCATACGGCTTCCATTATCGCACAGTCATGATAAAAACATGTGCCTGCTCTCATCTCTAATCGAGCTGTGTCCAGCTCAGACAGCCGATAAAACGCCAGCCGCGGTGCCAAGTTCTGTAGTCAGGCGACGACTGTACAGCTCTGTGTTGTAAAGGAGAAAGAGAGGATAGACACTGAAAAGAGGGGAACTAATGGTGGAAATGGATGTATATAGTTGAATGACAATAGACTCTTAAAGTGCGGTCAAGCATTAAATTGCTTGTTTCACAGCGAATCATCTATTCAGGGTCGTTTCCACAGCTTTCAGAGGTGTTAGAGATATCAGAGAGGTGTTGCGATTGAGTTTAAAAATAAAGACGGATTTTGTGTTGTGGGTGCTGCAAACTTTACATTTATAGTCAGTATTTTCTGCATGATTTTCTTTAAGCCGCGGTGCCAAGTTCTGTAGTCAGGCGACGACTGTACAGCTCTGTGTTGTAAAGGAGAAAGAGAGGATAGACACTGAAAAGAGGGGAACTAATGGTGGAAATGGATGTATATAGTTGAATGACAATAGACTCTTAAAGTGCGGTCAAGCATTAAATTGCTTGTTTCACAGCGAATCATCTATTCAGGGTCGTTTCCACAGCTTTCAGAGGTGTTAGAGATATCAGAGAGGTGTTGCGATTGAGTTTAAAAATAAAGACGGATTTTGTGTTGTGGGTGCTGCAAACTTTACATTTATAGTCAGTATTTTCTGCATGATTTTCTTTAGCCGAGTGTTTGTGTCCCTTCAGAAGTGAAATGCAATGACAAAAGCCATAAAAGATTGTTTGCAGTCAGGCCTTTGGGCAGCAGCGTTCCTTCTTGGCTGGTAATCGAGGTGTTGTGGGCCGCTAACAGATTCCTGCTGCTCCAGGCTTTGAGGCCTGTAACCAGGCCGACAGCAGACAGTCACCCGGTCCCGCACTGACCGCTGACACGCCGCTTTGGTCACCTTGATTTGATTTGGAGCTGGAGGTACTTTGACTCTCTTCAGCAATGTGAAGGTGCTGCTTGGATCACACTCAGGAAGCTGGTTTTCCTGTGTTTATTGTGTTTGTGTGAGAGAGCTTGTTTAATTACAGGTGCTGGAAAAATATAAGTCCGTTTGGATTCAGCTTTTCCTTTTTTTGCTGTTTTTAAAAATAAGACAGAATATTTTTTATCCTGTGTGTTATAACTCATTTGTTTAAAAATTAGAAAATGCAAATCTGCAGTATGAGTATCTGCTTCAGTGATAGCAGGAAAATAGGTTTATAAAAAATAATCATCACAATTTTTAAAACATTTTTTTATTTTAAATATTTTTTAAATAACATTCTGAATTTTATAATATAAATGTACATTTCAATAAAAAATTTTTTTTTTCAATATATTCATAATTTCATAAAATCAAAATTTAGCAAAACACACATTTCATTTGTTTTTTCAAATAAGTGTATTCATAAATACAATTTTATAGGAATTTTATTAATATCTTTCATTTGAGAAGCAAATTTCTGATGCTGTATTTTATATTTTGAACTTATTATAGTACAGAAGTGTTTAAATGACATAAAAAAATATTTTAGCAGTATATTTGTAATATGCTAATTCTAACTATTTTAATATATAATATAGTTTTGTTTTGCTTTAATATGTGTAGATGAAATATACAAATAATAATTTCCCTAAAGATATTTACTTAAATTAATTTAGCAATTATGATATGCAGTGTGTGAAAAACACACAGCATATCAGATAATATAAATACAATTATTGATTAATTTGAAGCAAAAAATGCATGAGAAATGCATGAGAAGTGTGTGTTTGAAAAGCATTCTGTTTTAGTTGTTTTTCCTCTAATATTCAAACACTCGTGTAGCACAAACTCGTCACCAGGAGAGAAAGTCAAAAACGGCAGAATTCAGAAGATAACAATAGGTCAGAAAGAAATGGCGCAGCTGAAATGGAAAAACAAGAGAAATGTTGAAGGAGGAGAAGGATTGACTTTGGGTGAGCTCTACTTTTCGTTACAGCCTTTCGTTTGGATGGAACAGGCAAATAAAACTTTTCAGAGGTAAAACCGAAATGCCTCATTACTGGATGCATAAACATATAAGCAAACAGAAATAATGTTAACCAGAGATATTAATATTCTCTGGTAGTTTAAAAGAGATTCTATCAATAATAACCACACCAAATGAGTCATCCTCCTCTTCCTGATCAACTATTTATTATTAGTAATGTTATTATTTGCATTGTTGCATTTGTTAAAACAGAGAATAGAACAGCGGGCAGAGAATAAAGATGGTGTAAAATGCCAAAATGGAAACAAAAGCCGGTCTGCGAAGGGAACTTCGACTGGTGTGTGTGTTTGGCACTGCTGCACGGATCTCAGCTTTTCAGATCACGCCACACACACTCTGCCAACATCCCTCTCTCTTTCCCAGCCTCTCCTTCCATTTAACCCGCTTTTTCAGGCCCTGTCCTCTGCTTTCCTCCAAACACGTCCACTCTCTATCGCTGACGGGAAAAACAAGCCTTTACCTCGCTCGCAATTCCGTATAGAAATATACACACGTTTTCTGTCGCAGGAAGACACACACGTCTTTTTTTTTTTTGGAGTGATTTTCGTTTTTAATGATTCCGAAATTGGCCACAGCGAACGATCCCATACGCTGAAAAAGCTGCGTTCCAAATCAAAATGGAGAGTTTGGCAGCGCTGACTTTGGCTGCAGGGCTTCTGTCTGGGATGTTAGACGTAAAAAAAATACAGGGCCGCTAGACCATCCAGCTAATCGTGTTTAAGTACATATATTTTTACACAAAATCACCCTTTAGGCATCTGACCCGAATGGTCAAACTGTCGCCAGCGCAATTTATGCGT